TTGGTTATTATTATGAATTAGTAATAATATAGGCTCCTTAATTTCTGTGTCACTGATCAGTGTCAAGCGCAAGGAGATGAGGACACAGTAAGAACAGTGTCCAGTAAAACAAAGTAATTGTAATAAGGATATGGTTATGGGAATTCATTTTCAGTGGACCTATGTTTTGACTGGATATAAGATTTCATTTCAAGATTAACAGTATTTTCAATATAGCTTATTTTTATTCAGAATTCTTCATCAAAATTTGCATGCAAGCTGACATTGGATACACCTGTAATACATTACAAGTGCTTTTAAATACAAACATTACCACAGTGCTTAGAATTCCCTGTATTTTAAATGGTTCTGCTGAGTTTAGAGAAACAGAGTCCTGTAGACTGTCAGCGATTCATTTAAGAAACTGAATCTTGGTATATAAAAAAATATATGTTGAAATTCTATACAGCTGTTACCCTTAAAGTTAGTCACAAGGGAACATCTTTAAATGTGTCTCGCAGCTTGCATGAAATAGTCAAACCTCTTAAACGAAGGTTTTATTTTCCCATCTCCTGACAGTTGTTGCCATGTTCTGTGCATCTCCATATCTCACCATATTTTTCTGTCTGCAGCACTTACTGATAATGGACAATGGAAAGAATGAACTTAATACTATAATTCTTACTTATGTGAGTTTTGAACAGTCATACCAGCAGTTCTGTTGATTTTACCCAAGCTATTGGCCTGAATAGCCACTACTCTCTCAAACATTGATGGAATAAGCAGTCCTAATATTGTTAGTCTCCCTACACTGCTAGGTACACAGTTGAAACTGCATGACGGCCTAAGCCTGCAGAGGCATAACACAGGTACTGCGCAAATTAAGTCATGGTTTGTCTGAGAAAGACCTGTGCATCAAGCTCAAGCACTAACTTCCTGGTAGATGCAAATTAAGTCGTGGTTTGTCTGAGAAAGACCTGTGGCATCAAGCTCAAGCACTAACTTCCTGGTAGATTCAAGGTGGCCCTGAGATTAACAGAGAAAGCTCAGGATCAGTCCTATTTTCCATTACAATGATAATTGTTTCATTTTGAGTAAACATTTTCAATGTTACAATGCACAGTATTTGATCAGTAAACTGAATGGTAGTAGTGAAGAGATTAAGACAAATCTAATTGTTATGCTCAAACAAGCTACTGTTAGAGACATAATCCGAACTCATACTGGAATCTTTTCTTTACCTTGAAAGATCCACAGTACGAAATTCCAGCACAAGCCCAGTCTGATATTTAGCCATCAATAAAGACACTTAGTACAAACGGGGGTTTGGGTCCATGCTGATCAGCTAGGTTTCCTCAATGCTCAGTGAAAAAAAGGACTGAAAGAGCACAACTAAGGTAACGGCTTAAAGTAAATTCACATCTTGGGAGCTTATGAACTGTACAGAAAGATTAGATGTCCACTGGTCCATGGGTAAAAGTAGTCCTATTCATGCAAGTACATTTAGTAATGACACAGAAAAAGGATTGAAAAGACGGAAAATAAAAGAAGTGTTGTCAAATATTATAAATGCCAAAGTATTGCCAAGAAGGTTACACTTAGGTAACATTTAGGACATAGTAAGTTAAAATCAGTAACCAAACTGCAAACAAGTACTTACCTCCACGAAAGAAAAACAATAGTAATGTACCAGTGCTATTGATTCACGTCCCAGTCTGGAAAACATCCATACGCTTCACAATCAATTAAATCGGTGAACACACGCTTGAAGAAAAAGTTCATAAAAACCCCTACAATTTCACACAAGTTTGTCTAGAACTAATATTTTCAGATATGAAGAACTGATTGTCCCATGATCAAATGGTTTTCAGCACTAGCAAGTAGAGTGAACGCATCAGGTCACAAAGCAGGGACAGGGACCCTATGGTCTAGTTTGGTGGCATGAATTTCTAAACGTTTGGAAACTAAAGTCTTCCTACTGCAGTAATACCCACATGTCTCTACTCACTTGCACTTGAAGTTCTCAGGAGTGATGTTGTGCTGGTGAGGAAACTGGGAGTCCCACCGCTGGCACTGGATTCCACTCCATATGGTGTTGACCGTGCCACGGTAACCCTCTCCCTGTCCCTGAATGCATGTTGATGTCTCAGCTGCCACCTCTGTGCTGTTCATGATGCTTTCATCTGCAGACAGAGAAGAAGAGCTGTTTTGTTTTCTTAAGACTGAGCCTGGCTCGGGATGTCAGGCTGGAACTCTACATTGCAGTTCAAATCGTGGTAATTGGAGTTCTTTTACAGAATAATTTTCTACTCTTCACATTCACAACATCCATGAAATCAAAATAGATCTCAGATCTTAGGCTAGTTTGTCCACTTGCAAAAAAAGAATTTGCAACATTTAAGAGCTTTTGTTTAGTGAAGCACTGGGCCTATTCCATACCGTTGAAGATCAGGAGATATTCTTGGTTACTCTTTCCAGTTCAGCAAATATTTTCTCATTCTCTTAGCTTTACAAAACCGAGCGATCGCCCATATGCACACTGTTAAACATGTTAGTACATGTTTGTGGTATTAAAACCCAACTGTTTTTTTCCAAAGAATTCCCAGAATATCAAGTCACAGCAAAAAAGATGCAGATAAAAAAAAAAAAAAAGATAAATCCTATTATGAAGTAATGTGCTAAATCCTCCTTGAAGTTTCTCTTTTTATGCCTCATATAGTTAGAGGGAAAAAAAAAAAAAAAGCCTAGCTTTTGGAAATCAAAGATCAGTATTCTCTACAGAGACAAATGTTTTAAAGACTAATAAATTCATCAGACTCAAGATCTTTTACAGATGTTGATATACTCTGTATTCACCCTGGTGTGGGCTGTCTTGAACTAAAGTCAGAAAAGCAGTGGTTTTTGAAATGACTCATTCACATAACTTGAAAGTCTCTTTATTTCTTATGCAATTTTCATAATTGCAAATTAATGGCACAGATATTGCATCAGATATATACAAAGTAGTACACTACAGTAAGAGCAACACTTCTACAATGTCCCCAAAAGCTCCCAAAATAATATTTTTGTAAGTAACTGCCCATCTCTTAGTAATTGCTATTGTTCACAAGAGTAAATTTATTAATTACCTTAAAAGTATTAGTTGCCAGCAATAAGTATGTTAACAAAGTTTTAAAATTAGTTTCCTTCAAATGGTCCAGTGATTAGAACAATATTTGTCTGTGGCTCATAATATAGTTAATTCCTGGTAACTTGAGCCAGTTCTATGAACTTGCAGAGAATATGGATCTTAAGGAAACCAAATGTCATAACAGATGGGTTTGGCTGATTTGCTGTCTAATCTTCTACAGTAAAGATCACTTCCCTGTCAGTTGATAACATCAAGTTGTGCAGCTGAATTATGCATTTCTTTCTGCTGGAGAAAATTTCCCCTTTTTTCTTCATCTGGTTGATGTTTTTACATCAGTGTTTCACAGTCAAATTAATTTCCTGTCCTTCCCTCCCAAAGCATTTTGTCTGCAAAGGTTGCCCTGTTTCACTGGGATTGTGAGTTCCAACCTCGTTCCAACATCGAAAGGACATGGCACTGCAAGTATCACAAGCAGGCTTCTGAAGGCTGACAAATGCACCCTTTCTAGCGGATTCATCAAACAGGCTTGCAGCTAATAACTATATTTTTAATCATTATTACTCACTTTTTAAATAATTGGACAACAAAAAGACAAATTCATACATCTAGCAGAAATACATAGCTGCATATTTCAGTTTTCCATCATAACTAACAAACTGGAATTGTATTCTAAAATAGCTCCTAAGCTGATTAGACTGAACATTGCTGTACCACATTGAAATACATATTAGTCTTTTCAAAAAATATATGCAATGCCTTTATTAAAAATGAAAGAGATGTGGTGTATAATTTGAAAAAAACCCCAAAACAAACCAAGAGTAAAAGAGTTACCTACCATGATAAATTTCAGCATACATATGGCATCCTGGCTGTGTAATATTTCCCAAGTAAATTAATAAATTACAGCTACATAACTCTAGCAAAAAGTCTTCTTAAGTAATAGTAATAATGGATAAAAATTCAACCTAATACAAGCTAGTACAAAGACCTTATTTATATGCAAGTTACTATTTCAACTGTAATGAACTGTACAGTACATCTACTTGGTCACACTAGGGAAAAAGCAATTGGGTTGGCATTTATGTGTCATTGTGTGTGGGTTTTTTTAAAAAATCACATGCCTGAAATGAAATAACTAATGCATCAACTGATTTAAGCAAGGCCATATAGTCATGTTGTAAAGCGATCCTCCTTATACATCTACAAATACATGGCTCATCGTTAAACCTTACAGTATGTGTCTGGACAGAGACCTCTATCTGTAGATCAGATTTTACAACAATTTGTCCATGTCAAAATATCCTATTTAAAGGAACCAGACAAACTTAGCTTTCACCTTGTCATGTATACTTGCACAGCCAAGCCAGTACTGGAAAGACTTACATTATAATGTAAGAGAGAAATTACTTCAAAATCTGCAATGTATGACGGATTATCTGCTACGACTACTTTGTGGCAGCTCTCAATAAGAAGTCTAGTGACGAAGAAGATCACTAAAATGTTTTTATTTGAATTAATAAAGCAATTCTATTATTCAAAAAGGTCCACAGAACCCTCCTCAAACTCTTCTTGCTACACCACCTGTATTTCCTACAAATGTCTAATTTTTAAACATGAAAAATTAGACTCCAAAATATTCCTGAAATTTAATTCTGAAATTCTGAGGGCTTGTGCCCTCAGAAACAACCTCTCCCATTCTGGGTCTTGATTGTCACAGATAGCTCAAAAATTATCACAAAAGGCTCAAGAAATCCTTCATTCAGCTGATGATTTCCACAAACAGGCATGATGGGAACAGTCTCCCGGTTCATGTTAATGAAAGGTGAGCTGGATGCGCATGGGGACATGCAAAAGCTTGAGGAGCCATGCCTGCCGCACCACACATTACACAGGTGCTCTGCAGACTATAAGGCAGTTACCAAACTTTAAGTGCCCAAGTTGTCCAAGCCTATAACTTAAGCAGTCATGTCCATTCAGTACTGGTCTTTTTCTTAAGGCTAATTACTCTTGTCACCCACATAGCCAATTATCTAAAGTTTACTAACTCCAAGCATGAGCATTAGATGTTCAGAGGACTGGTGAGAGTCCTGAGACCACACTCACCAGTTCTCTTACAAGGTGGAAACAAGATCAAGATAAAAATCAGTAAGGCTGAATTCCCATCCTTATCCAGGCAATTCCTCTAAAATGTAAATTAAGACCTGCACCTCCAAGGGTTTGTTCCAATGAGAAAGACACTATGAATTTAGAAGGCAAATTTAAATTCAGAAAGCAATCCTTACTAGGCAGTCAGGTACTTTAATTTCATATTAGAAGTCCCTCTTTTTTTGTTCCAGTTCAGCTTTTATAGTTCCAAACTGAGATAAAAAATACTGTTAAAGGAAGATCACTCAAAGTAAAAGACTACATTTATGATTTATTAATTAAATGTCACTTCTTATTCCTGTATGAAACTTCGTTATGAACAGAAGAATTTGGTAATTGTCTAGCATCATTTGGCTACTTTTGAACTTTGTTGTGATTTTCTTTTTGTATTCTGGATGACTCAAATTTACCATGTAATTCAGACAGCTACTTGAGGATTTCCTGTTAGTAGTATTTCCACCTTCACATGTTCACTCTGAAGTCCCCAACTAAAGTGCGATAATAAAAAGGTTTATTTTTTTCCATAAAATTGTCCCTATTTTGATACTTCAAAATACGTTATTAATAAGGGCTAGCTCATGCATTCATAGATGCTTAAGTAAAGAGATGAAACATTATCCATAGCTTCATGTCTAAAGCCACAGATAGTCTTCTCAGTTCTGGTTCTCACAGTAATGCCAGCATGAGGGAATCAGCAGGGGCCTTGAGTCATTCTACAGCTGAAGTAACCAGTTAGAGTAGTATTTCAGGCTTTAATCCCAATGACCCAGAAGAAATTCCCGCACAAATTTTAGGTCAGTGGTGAAATTCCTACTGATTTAAAAGAAAGTAGGGATTTTGCCTGAGTGTTCATGTTCTTTCATGATACTATGTATTTTTGGAAAAAGAAATCATTGGAAAAGCACAGTTCTAAATTAGTTCATCAGGAAAATTCCTACTTTTGCTTATATTATTGCAATATCTTTCTTAGTGTGTCAGTCAACAAAAGGAAAATGTGCCCTGATTTGCAACAAGAGATTATGAAAAGTAGATTTTAAAAGATAAGAGGTGCCTAACCCAGTAAAGAAACTGTTCTAACACAGCAAAGTCCTCATTAAACATGATAAATGCGATTCTGAAAATGTCAGTAAGAAACTTGAATGATGTTATGGAAAGAAGCTGCTGACGCTCAGTTACATGGCCTCCAGGCATCCTTACCCCAAGCAATATGTTCTACAGTTCTGGGCAGTACCACAGAATCACAGAATGTTAGGGGTTGGAAGGGACCTCGAAGGATCACCTAGACCAACTCCCCTGCCAGAGCAGGACCACCTAACGTAGGTCACACAGGATGACGTCCAGGCGGGTTTTGAATGTCCCTAGAGAAGGAGACTCCACAACCTCCCTGGGCAGCCTGTTCCAGTGCTCTGTCACCCTCACAGGGAGAAAGTTTTTCCTTATATTAATGTGGAACCTCCTGTGCTCCAGCTTGCACCCGTTGCCCCTTGTCCTATCATTGGACATCACCAAGAAGAGCCCGGCTCCATCCTCCTGACCTCGCCCTTTACGTATTTATAAGCATTGATGAGGTCACCCCTCAGTCTCCTCCAAGCTAAAGAGAGCCAAGTCCCTCAACCTTTCATCCTAAGGGAGATGTTCCACCCCCCTCATCATCTGTGTGGCTCTGCGCTGGACTCTTTCCAGCAGTTCCCTGTCCTTCTTGAACTGAGGGGCCCAGAACTGTGCACACTATTCCAGATGGGGGTCTCACCAGGGCAGAGGAGAGGGGGAGGAGAACCTCTCTTGACCTACTGACCACATCCCTTCTAATACACCCCAGGATGCCATTGGCCTTCTTGGCCACGAGAGCACATGGGTGGCTCATGGTCATCCTGCTGTCCACCAGGACACCCAGGTCCCTTTCCCCTA